AAAATTTTAGCATAAACATAGTATACATGTATTAGACATCAAAGTCATCAGACCCGTTATCAAATCTAACCAAAATAAAAAAAACACGTGTGAGTTCACTTTATTATATAAAAGGCTACTTTTAAAGTTTTTAATCTCGCACTTCAAAAAAAAATTACGAAACTTTTAAGTGGAGACAGCACACTCTGTCTGAGATGTATAGACGAAACGTGTTTTTGCATGATTTAATTTTATTAATTTGGTTTCACGATATTAAATCTCGGTAAACTACAGACAGATGCAAAGTTCATTATTTGTATACGGAGATAAGAAAACATTGTATTTCGATTGGAGTAAAATGTAAATCAAAAATGTTTTGCAACAAAGCAAGACATTTTGAATTGGCCCTGAAGTGTTAAGCTGATAAATGAGAATGTTTTTATGTAATTGTGTTTTTACTGACGACTCGCAAAGTAAATCGTGTCATTCTGCAGTATATAATGCCTCTTGTTCAAAATCCATTAGAATAAAAACACACACGTTTTGAAATAGTAAAATTAAATATATAACAATTTTTGGGATATTATGATCGGGAAAATAGAATTAAAAAAAACCCGATAAATCGATTGCGTTGTTTTATTTCGTCTGCTAAGATAAGTTGATCAGTGCAAAATATATAATAGTATTATAGTATTATTTTATAGATAAAGAAAATTATCGACAATGAAGAGATGATGTCATTCATTTTTAATATGGTGGCAACGACAGTTTACTTTTGCAGATTTAAAAAAAAAAGAACGGAAGACAAATGGGATGAATCACTTTTAGATCTACGTTTAAAATTATCGCAAACAAACGTTATGTACAATTATAACAAGGTTCTTATTAAAAAAAAATATGGATCTTCCATAACGACAGTGCTGCATCTCCCTTGAAGTCATATCATGCATGAAGATAGGAAAAAAAGTTTCCACTTAAATGTTACATGCGCAAAATCCTTAAAATATAACGTAGATTACAATAATTAGAATTCCATCATCAAATCCGAGTCAACGCATTCCTTTTCTGTTCTTACAGCACGCTAGATAACAATGAAAGTTCTATGATAACCGCCATATGAAATTCAAATGTTTTAAAATTCATAATTTCAGCATTTTCATGTTTAGATGTTGAAATCTGCTTAAGCCAATGCCAGGAGTGTGAATGGTAACTTGCACTGTCCAGTACCGTTCATGAACACAATGAGTCAATCAAACTAAGTCTGCAATAAATTTGTCCATACTGTAAAGATCAAGGAACTTCCATTAATTTCAACTTTATGCCATGTCTTGAATAGAGTGGAACCTAATTTTGAAATTTAAATACAGATTCTATATATTTAATTATTTAAAAGCCTATTTTTCTTAAAATAGAGATGTAGATAATATAATATTATCTATGTTTCTGCATAAACTAGATTTTCATGAAATATATTATATTAAGTCTGAATGTTAAATATAGGTGTAAGTAAAATAAGGATACAAGTGTATTAAAATTAACTATGCTTACATCGGCATTAATTTCATTGGCGGTTTACACTTTGGTAAGTCATTGCAGGTGTTGAACAGGAAATTAAGAGGGGTCAGGAATTATGAAGCTTATGTATCACAGACAGGCAAAATAAATTCGTAACATGAGTATATCTGAAATTTTCAGTTAGTATATGAAGACGCTGGGTATGTTTAGTTTTACGGTACACCAACACAGTATAAGTCATATGACACCGAAACAGAAAAGATAATTTTGGCTAACCTCGGGTGTTACAAACTTCAAAGCAACACCAGGGGTCAAACACCTCACCTGCTAGAGGTTAGAGATGCATTGACTCCAGTTATTTGAACCCATTTAGTCTTCTCTTACAATCACGCAGGGATAAATGGTCTGCAATTCTTATACCTCAACCATTAAAGGCAATCCATTCGTCACAAGGGGTACCAATACACAGATAATTTCGAAGGCGGTTATAAACTGTGGAAGTAATCATTTTAAGGACGAGCGCAATGTCCGTAAGCATAATCAGCTCCACTGAAATAAATGGTTTCCTTAGTAACGTTCAGCTACTTTTTAAGCGTTACGACTCGTTTATCACAAATAATGCGATACGACGCAGTCTGTTATGATCAGGATACAGAATGATCATACTTGATCACGAGGTATATATTCAGTCTGGCCAACCATATACTGCATCTATCAAACATATTGATGGCGTAGGTGACAACCTAATGTTGCAACGTTATATTGTTTTCATTATAGTTTCATTAAAGTGATTTACTGAATTATAACCACCAAAGTAAGTATCCAATTTTTTTCTCTAAGTTATTTCTCATAGTGCTAAATCATCTGTATTTTCTAGAAAAGTCTGACTTGACTTAAACATGAGTAGGGATATCGATTTTGAAAGCGTCGCAGTCTTTTCCTCATACTGTTTGATGTTATCTCTCAAACTGTACAAAATGCTATATACAGTTGACAACTGAATGTGTCAATGAAAGAGCATCGGTCAATATTCGTACTGAGTCGCGTTTAGTGGTATGTTTCATTTCATTTGCATCTTTCCATTAATTATCATTTGTGTCAAGCCTTCTTTTTGATTTCTGTTTAATCCGGTGCTAGGGGCGTCGATTAAACCGAATGTTTTGCTTTCTTGGTTGGAGAAGAATGATTTTTCCTTTTCAGTAGTGGAATCCGACATAACGTCTCAGTTTCAGTTTGCAACAAATAGCATCACTGTAACAGGTCTGTAACTAAGAATACGATCATGATGGAACTTGCGAAGCATGATTGTACAAATATGGATTAAATTCCTTTGTGATCTTAACACACGCGCCTTATATCCATGGTATTGAAGTTCACACCTACGCATGGTTTGAGCGACTTTAACTAAGAACATAACGTAAATATTACCTTTTCTACACCCTTCTTCACCTATATTTATTTATTTGGCATTTGAATTATTTAAAAGAAAATTTGTTTCTTTGTTATACGTACTTAATATAAGTCTCTCTCTATCTTTCTTAAAAAGGTTGAAATTATGCAACATGTAATCAATCACCTTTGTTGAAATTTGAAAAGTATAATATCTTAAGATATTTGAAATACTATGTCATCTCGGCTATATGTATAATATATATAATTTCACACTTTTACATTAAGTATTAAATTACAATCTTTATGCTATAAGTACGTTTCGCACATTTTATTTTTCTCTCAAGCAAATCTAAGATTCAAATATGAAACTTTCTGTTTCATTACAAACAATTGATACTGAAATGAATGTTAAATTGTTAGAACCTATTTATAACCTGGATATTCTTTCGTGTTTGTTTTTTTCGATAGGCTTTTCGTTTCGTTTTGTTCAGGTTATTATGAAAGGTGTAAACATTCTATTTGATCCATTAGTCATACTAAATATTTTACTATAATATATATTTTTTCTCACCAAATTGTAACTATATATTACTATTATCCTAAAAATGTAATATAGCCGTTTTCCATTATGTATTTGTATATGTTTATGTATGTATACTGCTGATGTTTCCCGCTATTGTGGGACTTGTGCATTTTGTAAATAAATTGAATTGAAATTGAATCTTTTGCAAAAATCGCACTGACATAAAAACTTAAATATCCTATATTTTCATTGACGCATAAAAGTTAAAAAACGATCAAACACTTTTGAAGAAACGTTAAAAACAAAAAAACTAACAAATTACAATAGTGCAGGCGTGGTCTGGCTAAGCCTTTTCCTGGACGGTATGATTTCTTTTTTACTTGGAATATGATATATATTATACGGGTTGACCTATAAACGTGACGATGATACGACATTACGCTCTAAACGTTTAGGCTAATTTCAATTTTTTTTTATATTGTTCATCCATATGGATTGAGTTAATGGTAGAGTTACTTTCTGTTAATATTGAAATTGGATACCTGCGCGATTCAAACGCGGACGGACGAACCAGATCAATTAAAAATAGCCAGCATCGTTAAGGACTTCAAAAAAGTAACACAAAGATAAAACGAGGAATTATATTCCTTATTATTTCAAAAAAGTGGTATTATATAGCTATTTTCATTGGACAGGAGGTAGATATAAAAATTCAGGAAAGAAAATTGAAAATAAACTCTTTATTGATACTGTCTTAAGCAGTTTACAATTTTTGTTAAACATTCAAGTGTTGGAATCAATGATCCTGATTAACTAGAAAAAAAATATAAAAACATTTTAGATGAAATTTTGGGCAACTTCAACAGGCACAATCAAACCGAGCTTGCAACATATTCAATATTATGTTTTTAACAAATTTAAACAGAAGATTTTCATTAACTTAACTTTGAAGAGCAAGGTCAATTAAAGGTCATTGTCACTTCCAAATTATTTCATATATCTTTCTTCATATGGTCACAAGTTTGCTTGTTCGCTGTTTGTTGTTTATTTTGTCAGGCAAACTTGACAAATTACTAGGATGCAGACAAACTAAGAACTCAAAAGATTTAAATTCATTCATGTCCTACACAGTCGTATAATTGATGGGCCAATAGAATGTTGCAGAGGTTCTAACCTGTAGCTATACGGGACTGTAGCTATACGGGATGCACTGTCCCCCATCTTTCTGTCTGTAATTGATTGCTAAATTGTCCATGTCGTACATGAATCACTATAAGCATTGTCATTAATCTTAAAACTTCGTCGCCAGCATTTCAAACCTGAAAAAAATCTTCAGGTACTGACCTAGGTTTAAACCCCTGGCCTCTCGATTGCAAGGCAGACACCAATTCACGTCGCTTAAGGGTTAACCCAACAGCAATTCTGTTGGAAACGGCGTACGTATACCTGTTATCAATAGAATAGTAACATTGTTAAAAACAACACTTACACTTATTAACTAAATGCATTACAAATCTATAAAACGGTTGCATAACGACAATATGAATACGAGGTTTTATACTATACTAGTATGTTCGACGTTGAAGTTTCGATTTCAAGCAAAAATGGACGCGGAACTAAGGACAGATAAAGAACATCAAAACTTTGTTTCCATTTATCGAGGTTTTGCATATGTTGGTGAAAAATTGGAGAGTTACACAAAAGAGGGACTGGATAGGACGTATCAAAACATTTACAAGACATTGGCGGGTTATCCTCCATGCAGACAGAACTGCAGCAGAAAGTATAAATGTCAGTATGGAAAGTAAGTAGAATGAATCTGTTTATAAACTTTTAGTGTAATGGCGTTGAGATGTAATCTTAATAATAATATTGCACAATCCTCCGTCTAGATTATGGGATTTTAATATCATCTTTAGGGAAGTATTTTTTTCTGATAAAGAAACACAAAATACATATATCTTTTGAAAGTGGATCGAAGTTTAAATTTGTTTAAACTTTCTTAACTGTACGAGCTGAATGTAATCGATCGCTGCATAAGATGTTTACTAAAGTATGTGTGCATAATGCGTAACAAATGAAATGCAAGAGTACTTTGATATGTAGTACTGCTGCTTTTATATATACGAAAAAACATATCTGGGGCAATATACTCCTAGATGTAAATTTGTTTGAGTCGTTAAATTAAAATAGAGACACAATAGAAACTTTTTTTTATTCATTCTAATTATCCTTATACATGACGACCTCCAAGGTACAGACATTTTTTTTCTAGTGCATAATTCATAAATTGTTCATAGAGGTTTACTAGGCAATGCTTTATGCTAAATATAGAGTCAAAGTATTTATCCACAATAAGACGTGCCAGTCTACATAAGGCAAGTGACTCGGAAGTACTTTTGTATTTTGCAGAAATATACAGAAAGATGCAACATGCCAAATATCTAAGCTCTGTGCTTTCACATAATAAAATAGGGAAAAACAGAATCCCTAAAGAAAGTCCAACACGGCAAAATTGTATAATGTTGCAGGCTCGGTTTGATTGAGCCTGTTCTTGGACGGTACTGAAAAGTGCAAGTTACCGTCCACGCTCCCTAGCACCGGCTTAAGCAAGTTTCAACATTTAAACACAAAAATGGTGAATTTTGAATTAAATGCTCAAGACTTAAATGCATTTTCCTATAAAAGTTTTTTTATTTATAAAAAGTGACCCGGGCGGGCCAATATTGAAATTAGGACATGATTAATAGAGTTTTGCAGAAGTTCACAAGCCAATGCTACATGCTTAAAACTTATAATTAGCTCTTAACATTGTAGTTTATCAAACTAAGACTTGTAACATTAGTTTCCTTTACAACACTATATTATATAAGTGACCCCAGGACAAGGTCAATATTGATCCAAGCTTCACTATTTTATACCAGTTAGTTTGTAATCCACAAAGTGATTTTACATGCCAAATATCTAAACTCTGGGCAAAGTATTTTCACAAATAAGTCTTAGATGTGTTTTAGCTCACTTCCGCACAATAACGTGCTCACAAAGAGCTATTGTGGTACCACTGTGTTCGTTCGTCGTCCGGGCGTCTGTCGACCATCTATAATATGTTTTTACTTAAATAATATCTCTTCTTCATAAACCCCTGCACCAATGGAGATGGTCCCCTCAAACATTGCTCAAATGGTTTCGGTCTGCTAAACAGAGCCAGAGCTTAAGATAGAAAAATGTTTAAATGACTTCTGGCGGGATAATCAGTACCTGCGGGTTCCGACCATTAAACTTCAGTTATCAGAATTTCGAGAAACAAAGTGATCCCTCGGAAGCAATATAAACAGCAAAATTAAATGAATATTACAGATTCGGTTTGATTGAGTCTGTACATGGGGTAAATGAAAACGTGCAACATCCCTCACGCCCCCTAGCACCTGATTAAGCGGTACTCAATACTCAACACTTAAAAGTGCTGGACTCAATTAACCAGAAACATATAACAACACTGAAGTGAAGTACGGGGCAATTTCTACAGTTGCCACACAGCACTTGACACCTGCAGTTGTGATGTATGATATTTGAGAACAAATGATTTCTCTGTAGCATTAAAAACAGTACAAGTCTCGTTTTACGATCATGCAGGGATAAACGGTGGCTCTTAACCATTAAAGACAACTCTTCAGCCACAAGTGTCTTGTTACTTAGTAAATTTGCATATTTTAATTTTTTACCAGTTTAATCAATAAGACTAAGATTAAATCATATAAACCCATGATCTCCTGAATAATTTTAATCTATATACAGAAAATTAGTTTGGTAAAAAAAGAATAACTTAAAAAGTAATAGATTTTTGGAGAGAACGATTTATTGGGATAAAACATATTAATAAAAGTCATACAAATTAATCTCCCTTTGTAATATTGTGACATTGACCTTGACCTGAGGAAGCCCATACATGCGCTCTGTACATCTCTGTATTTCTGCATAATAAATTTAATTTCCTATTGTCGCTTGAGGTCACAAACATTTGAAATAAATACATTATGACCAAGTGTGGCCCTGACCTGAGGAGGGTAAAAAATGAAAAACAAGAAAAACAAGATCAACAAGGATGGCGTTGTTCAATGAACGCAACCCCTGCAATCTGCACATCCCCTCACTATGGTTAACACTTCTCCTAAGTAGTTTCAATTTCCTTCCACCGGTTCGAGAGATTCAGACCGGACACAAAACTTACATGTAGTTTATATAATTCATGTAAAAATAAATGTAAAAAAATAGTTAATTTACGGAGGAAGATAAAAAAATGACTCCATTTTTAAAGGAATATTTGAAAAAAAAACGGAGTGATCTGATGATGAGAATTCTCGCATGAGTCAAGACCAATATCAAATTGAACATTAACATCGAAAAATTATTTCCAGTCCCCTCATGTCAAAAACCTTAGTGGAGTCCCTTTAGCAATAATAACACCCAGTTATATTAAAACATGACAATAACGTGATATACATCAACTTAATGATGATATTAAAAAGCAAAAGCTTAAACATAATGTGATGATGACTTACATTCCTGCACATTTAGTATAGATGATTCAGTACCGCTTAAGCAAATGCTAGAAGATGTTGCACAATATTTCACCTAAGTGTTGTTTTTCATGTTCTTCGGGATCATTTATTCCAGCCCATTTGAAAATCGAATACCGATTAAGCTGCTGCTTTGGAGCTTAAGAGATGCTACATATTTACCTTATCTCATATCACCAGATTCAATCAAACCAAGCCTGCATTAAATATCATAATGTTTTTATCATCCATTCCAGGGAATCTTCCTTATACTTCAGAATAGCGGCTGTAAAACATGGATTCGTACCTTAGAGCTGTTATACTTTTCTGGCCCTTCAGTAACGTTAAAAGAACTCCACTGAGGTTTAAAAGCCTAAAAACATAACATTTGAACTTCTTACATAAATGAGCTGGGGGACTTTAAACAGAAATATATGCAAAGATAATTAAGAAATATACTTTATAATAAATTGAAAATCGTATTTTGTATGCTTTTCTTTGCTCGATTTATCTTTGCACATAAGTTACTGATCTAGACCTACATCAAACGGTACATTTATCTGGAAAAAACATTTATAGTCCCGTCATGTCAAAAACCCTCAGTGGACTCCATTTAAATACCGCTTAAGCCGGTGCAAGAGAGTGTGAGTTTGCAATTCTTATGTAATTTTATGTTTTCATTCTTTGTTTACACATTTGTGGAGTGAACAGTCAATGTATCAAACCACATATATTACCATCTATTCGATTCAACACTTTTTTAACAGTGACTACCTGCTGCAAAATTATAAATGCAAAAATCAAGAACAATGTGCATGACAGATAGACTTAAGTGAAGTAAAAAGGAATTATATTTCTGAACCATCTTGATTATACAACACAAAGGAGTAATCCTCGAACCACATGAAAACATGTATTTACATTTCAAACAACATAAATATTGTTCACATAAAATGTAAACGTTATAACCATACAATAACCTTTTTTCTAAATCGCTTTGCTTAAACCAAAATAAAACATTTATTACCGAACAAGAGTTATAAGTCATACATGTATAGTTTAGGACATAATAAACAACAACACTAAAGTATGATGAAGACCTTTGCATTGTTTCTATATCGTTAAATATACATCAATACAAAATATAATAGCACTTTATTTCTGTGCATCTGACTTACATTTCATAATATTTACATCTTTCAGATGGTGCAGAACATGCAATGGCTGGCGAAATCATCTACTTAAAACTAGGAAATCACGAAATGTACCTTGGGAGCTAACTCATTCGTGGGAATGGCCTCGCTCTTATTCAAATATTATTGAAGTTTATCTTCCAGCCTCATGGCAAACCGATGACAAGGACATAAAGGACGTGTCCACTGCATGTTTTATTTGGGAAAATTGTTTAAACCAGTATATAATAAAACCGTTCATAATAAAGAATATCCGAAAGTTCAGAAATCAGTATTTTGCCCACAACACATCACTGAAAGCAACTGATTCCGAAAAAGGCAAAGTGTTTGATGTTTTAAAGGATCTGTTAAAAGAACAACATGTGCAAAGCCATATTGATGTACAGGAATGCCTCAACCATCTTTTTGATATTGAGCAGGGATACCAGATTGAAAAATGGATGGTTGCAGTTCAAGACTTAATTGAGCAACATGGGTTCAAATTGAATAAACTTGAAGACATTGCAACAGATATAAAACAGCAGCATCACATCCTAGGAGACATTCAGAACGGCCAGGACTTCTTAATTGAAGGGCAAGAGAATTTACGAAGAGAAGTTGAAAATATTCAGACAGATTTAACATTATTCAGGAGAGATTTTAATAAGTTATTTAAAGACAATGATTCAATTTTCTTGAAATTGTTTTCATGGGCAAATAGATGCATCCCAAAAACACAGATAATATTAGTTATCTCAGTTTTTCTATTAATAGTCTTTTTTTCTACGCTATGGATGTTTGTTTTCAAACATTTTGTGTACGAAACAGAAAAGGACAAATATCATGATGATCGAGGTATGTTATATATTAACGATATGAATAATGGTTATATTTTGTATACATCTATACATTGCTTGAATACTTTGGGCATTTTCTCGTTTTCTTTAGAACATTCCTTGTCATACATTTATTGATAGGCCAATCTAATTTGTTTAATTTGTCTAGTTTGGTTTTTTCATCTTTATATTATATGCACGGTTTGTTTAAAGCAAATTTGTAGAACCATTATTGTGGCTCACGTTTAGGTCTAAAATGTCAAATATACTTCTTTGTTTGATTATTCTCACATATTACAGCGTTTCGCGTATATGAACGATGTCTATCAGAAAATACAACTTAACTAGCAATAATCAGACTAATCCTCTGTCTTACAAAAATTTATATTTTGTCACATTTTAGCCAATGAGTCTGAATATATGTGATTTGCATAGCAATGTAAATGACTGTTATTTTTCTTTTCATTTTAACATACGTTTTTATTATTTATAATTTCATACAGATTTTACACTTCAATGCTTTGATAGCCATATAATCATTTTCTGCGATCTTGTTTTACAGCATGCATGTCTGAACAATACAGTGTACCGTTTCCTCAAGATCTTCCACTCCTGGGGTATTTGAATGAGCATAAGACACTTGTTGGTCGCCAATGGCTAATGGAAAGTTTACAATACGATCTGTTCAATTCCAACAGTAAAAACCATGGTATTGTACTTGTTGCCGAAATGGGTTACGGTAAATCTGCATTTGTTTCAAAACTATTATGTCCGGGACCGATGAAGTTTGCCAATGATATTAATAAACACATTGTTGCTTTTCATGTATGCAAATTTGATGTACAAAGCACTCATTTGTTAGAGCGATTAATACGCAGACTTGTTGGTTTCTTCGCAAAAAAAAGTGCAGAATATGGTAACATAGTATCAATGTTTCCCGAGAGTCACATTTTGTTTAACAGAGATAGTTGTAACAAAGAACCCGAAGCTTGCTTTGACCAAGGCGTAACTATACCATTAAAACAGTTAACTAGTGTCTCAGATTCACCATGGGTTATAGTTGTAGATGCCATTGACGAGTGTGGGCGATCTGGAAATAATCCAGTTTTAAACCTTTTGTCAGACAGAATTAGACAGCTTCCAAAATGGCTCAAGTTTCTTATTACTTCCAGACATGTCTCACAACTAACAATGCTAAAAAAAATGAAGCTTGATTATCTGTACTCAAATGACCCAAGAAATATAGAGGACATAAAGACTTTTATTGAAAAATCATTTCCAAAACATACTCACAGAGATATGATAAACAATCTTGTTTATAAAAGTGAAGGAAATTTTGTATATATCATCCAAGCATTAAAATGGGTTATCGATAACAAAGACAATGAAACCGTCCCTGACTTTCCTACAGATCTAGGCGATGTTTATGACATCAATTTTGGTAGACAGTTTGGTGGTACATCTTTTAGGATTCCAAAATTAATATTTGAGATTATTTGTTCCACGTTGAATCCTGTTTCAAAATCAGAAATTTTTGCCATTCTAAAATCTTCAAACATTTCATTGACAAAAGACGAGTTTGACCTGTATTTTAAGTCCTTAAGCTTCTTCCTAAGAGAAGGTGAAGATGTTGGCATATCTCACCAAGCTTTATATTTTTGGCTTATTGATAAACGTAATGAAAATTATCAAATTTCACTTAAGAATGGCCATACTCTTATATCTAAATATTTGTTTAGTAAAATAGCTGACAATTATACGAAGAATATTGTTGATTTGGCAATTCATGTTGCAAACTCTGCTGATATTTCTTTAAGAAAAATGTTTCTCTCATCAACCTTTTTGATAAGTAACGAGGTACAAAAGGAGCCTATTTTGCATAAGTTGATTTGGAAAACGCCATGTGTTGAGGCACTAGAGTTATTGACAAATCATTTCCCTGATGTAAATGCTTTTAACGAAGGAAATGTTACACCGTCATTTGTGGCAGCAGCGAAAGGACATACTGACCAGATAAATCTTTTACACAACAAAGGTGCAAATCTTAATTTTATTGTTAAAGGTCAAATGTTGATAAATTCTTATGAGGTATTCAACAAGTTAGAAATGATAAAATTGTATTATTATTCAGGATATAGTTTATTGCATATTGCATCACAACATGGACATCATTCAACCGTAAAGTATATTTTAGCATTTAACCATTCTTTGGTTTATGTAAGAAATACTTTGGGGTTGAATGCTGGTCACGTTGCATGTGAGAATGGACATTTAAATGTGGTCAAAGAAATGACATCCCTTCATACCAAAACATTCTTCTATGAATGTATGTATTATGCGTCTAAACGAAATCATAAACATATTGCAGCATGGCTTGTGTCAAATGGATTTACGTTTGACTGTATTTCCGACCAGATGTCCATTGAAGCTTTCCAAAACGTAACCAAGTTTGATCATTTCCATTTAATTGAGCATGGTTTTGCTACTTTTCCGAACGATTCTTTAAATTTACACCTTATCGTCCCATTAGATGTTTGGTGGATTATTTTTAAACATAATCCACTCATAACAGCAATCAAAACTGGTTCAATGGATGTAGCTATATATTTACTAAATACTTTTTATAAAGCACGCAAATGTTATGATGCATTTGGATATACCGCGGCACTAACAAGTGTTCGCTTTAACCGTACCGAACTTTACCCACTATTAAACAAAGAAATAGCATCAGACAAATGTGGAAAAATTCCAAACCATCTAAAACTAAAAACAGAGGAGCCAATGCATGCTTTAATAGATACTTTCTTATCAGACAAATGTCCTGAAAATGGATCAGTATCACATGTTGTAGCTTTATATGCTCCAGATGACCAAATTTATTCTCATGTTATTAGGAATAGGCTCGATGTGAACTGGAACCACTCTGATAGCTTTGGAAATTATCCAATTCATTACGCTGTTGCTAACCGAAATTTTCTTTTTATTTATTTGTTTGAAAAAGTAACACTTTTATCAAAAAGTAAACATTTTTCATTGCTAGATATATTGACTTTAAATGGCTCAACTGCTTTTCACACATCTGCCATTTCTGACCAATATTTAATCATGTTTTTACTAACTGATTCTTTTGAGAAGCCAGTTCCGGACATAAAAGACTACAACGGACGTGGGATAATGCATTATTTAGTCTTAAAAGAGTTTGATGGTGTTGTTAGCAGTCCGGAAATGGAATCGCATAAGCAATCATTACATACTCTCCGCTATTTGCTGGAGATATCAAACCATTCTCTTTCGACACGTGACAGTTTTGGTAGAAACATATTACACTACAGTATGAAAAACGGGCATTACCATGTAGTTTTATACTTGCTTCAATATCAGAAGACAATCTTTTACTCAATGTTAACAGATATAGATAACGAAAGAACTAATCCATTTGACTTTGCTCTGAAGAAGTACGAAAGAAAGAATTTCGTCATAGTGTTACCAAAACATGCTATGTTTTCTGACATATACTTAAGTTCCGCAAATATCAAAGCGAATGACTTCCCAAACATTATGTCATCATGGGAGCTTACAATGCAATATGTTATATCGATATTCTCTGCCGAACAATACCATCTCTTCGTTGAGCCAAATTTGAAGTTTATAATGGAGAAAAGTCCGTATCTTCTGACTACTGTATTGGTATATCATAAAAATGTAAAATTGAAAAGATTACAACGTCTGCTAGTTGAAAGTCACGTCAATCCTCTTACAGCTTATATGCATTTTGTCGTTGCTCGCCATAAACCGTTAGCATTTATTTCATGTAACCAACCACTATCCTTATCACCTTTGCACTTTGTATTACTTACACACGATTATCACGTTTCAGTTTTTAATTTACGTTTACATGATGTCGACTATCATAATTTCCTTTACATGATTTTCAAAGAAAATAAAAAATCTAATGCGTTTAAATGTCCCGATGTAAATGGATTTAACATATTTCACTATTCTTTAATCGGTGGTAATTTTCAATCGGCCAGAATCCTCATGAGAGAAAATATAACCATAACAAATAAATACGTATCTTTAAAAGACGTTTTCTTGATGACTATGCAAGCTCGTTTAAAAAGCGACCAACGAAATTATATCAAATGTAATGAGCAACCGTCCGAGCAATCGCAGGAAAAATGTTCAGATAAGTTTCTTCTAGAATTGTTTAATTTGAAAAAGAGATCGTTTAATTATAACTTTTTTTGTGATAATAAAACAATGGAATTATCTCTTGTGCATTTGTTTGCAATAAATGGAATGTCTCTAACTATAGCAGCTGTTGCAGAAATGTTTGGGAAGGAAATATTGACTTGTCAAAATAGTGACCGATTTACTCCCTTGTATTTTGCAAAACTCTTTCAACAAGAAGACATTGTGTCTTTGGTTGGTGATCATTACGGTTTAACGCTTCCAATTGTCCAAGCAGAAGAATGGTTAATTTGGTCTATGTTGACCATGTTTACACAAACAAATATTTCCGAACGGTTATTTCCTTTCTCAAATTCGTTGGTCTGTCCACACTATTCTACCAGGCATTTATTGAAAGATTCAGTTTTGGTTCACAATTTTTTTAAGGATTTATCACTAATGGGTGTCCCAAATTATTCCCACATTTGTGATAAGGTCTTAGGTAAGTTGTTATCGTCAGATATACCGGATATTGTATCTTTCATAAATCTTTTCGAATTATTATATTTGAACAATGAATCGATTTCATGTAATTCGCGAGTAGTTGCACTTATGCAACAACACAAAATGTTTCAAACTACAATAATAGATTTCATATCTTTTCAACATATAAACGGATGTCACGTTACTAAAAAACTTTTGAAACCATTTCTTGCTAAATGCTATCAAGTAAATAATTTATTTACAAAGATGAAAACTAGAATATTCAATGATTGTGAAAACACATCTAGTTTCATTTTGGAGGGAGTGATAACCTATCAATTGGTAGTTTCAGCAAGGCAGTTATGCTTTAAACTACAACGATTGTATAAAAGTGTAGCTATATCTTTTTTTTTACAGTACGGAAAAACATTTAAAATTCGACTGCCAGAATCATACGAGTTTATGCAATTTAGAAGGACAGCGCTTAAATTCAATGTTCACGAAAAATTTAGTGGGTTATCAAAACTTCAACCACTTGTTGCCATGAATTACACTTCTTTACATAGGCATAGATATCTAAACATAGTAAAGTCAACAATCGCTTATAAATATTTGAAACCTCATATTGTTGTAGACATATTCAGTGTAAGAAAGTTGCTTGACCAGTCTAAGAATGAAGTTGATGTTATTAAAAATTTCCTATTGAAAGAACCTTTTAAAGATTTAGGATAGATATATCAATATGATTATATACACTAATCAGTTAAAACAGGACAAAATTTAGTGCCTTTTGGGTCGTTTTAAGCAGTAATTATTTTCTTATTGATCTTAATATATCTATGTCAACGCACTTTGTTCTGCAACATTATTATTTTAAGATAATCGATATTCTGTGCATGAAATAAGTGACAATGTTGTTAATTTGTAAATATTTACTTTATGATATTTTATCAGAGTTGTTGTATACATGTAGTTGTATCATAGCCGTTTTCTTCTTTTCAGGATTTTTTTTTCAAATTTAATTGTTCACTTCATGTCATTTTATCTTGATCGATGCATCCATGGTGATGTACATACACTATTGAAATTATTTCGCCTCTGATGTACATGTTTTATTTGTATGGTATTATGATCATGAACCGCAATGATTGATTGATTGATTGATTGATTGATTAATTGATTGATTGATTGATTGAATTTAAATTTAAACTCTTTAGTATATATAACAAACAATTGTATAATATGAAAATGAAATGTATTTATAGAACATTATCACAGTATTATATTTTATTTTGTATTACGTGTACTATTGGATTCATTGAATTGTTATGTATGAACTTGTTATATTGTAAATAAATAATTGAAAAAGAGTGAATGTATAGGTTTTTACTGTTCCTTTGCAAGGAAAAAAAACAACAACAAAAATACAAAGAATAGATGAAAGTCAAAACACTACTTTGTTAACATTTCGCTACTTTAATTTCACATTCAATGTTACCGTCTTGACCGACTGACTGATAAGTATCTAACATGCTCAAAAACCAATATTTTAACGTTATAAAACTCATTCTTGCCCTTTATTAAGACAGATCTGAGATATAAGAGATATAATGTGTCTTTAAATCATTTCACATTACATCAAAAGTGGTTTTGCAGTGAATAAACTTATTCACATAACTTATAATTTTCCAAACCATAGAAAAATCTGGAGAAAGAGTGATCCATCGGAAACTTTAATCGAAGCAAAAATCGTAAAAATTGCCGACTAGGTTTTAATGAGTCTGTACGTTAAGGAAATAACAGGTGCAAAATCCCCCACACCCCTAGAACCATCTTAAGCGATACCCTCAATCTCTAGATAGTAACTATACTAGTTAAATTTCTTGACTTTTACAGCAGCTTACTATTCTAATGATAATTAATTGTTAATTAAGTCTAAGAATATCATTTTCCAGCGAATTTTAATGTGCATTGACACAAGGTACCACATTTCAAATAAAAAACCTTTAGCAGAAATGTCTATAATAAAAATGGATGCATTGAATTATCGCCTGCAATATGATCATTCATATTTTTTTATCCTTTTTCGAGTAACAGGATGCAGGTAGTTTAATCCTTGCTATTTTTATGAATTTTGTTGAAAATCATGAGTCTTCGTGAATCATTTATTCCAGCAATTTTCTAAAATTCAACAGACAGCGCGATGCTTGCTTTATTACCTGAGGACTCCAGCCGCAGGAATGAAATTAATTTTGAGTAAGTAATTTTAATGAAACACTTATAAAAACATATAAAAATGTATACAAATTTTTATCTTTAAAACATAACAAAATATTGTGTCGAAATATAAAAGTAGACCAAACGGATTAATGTCGTGTATTTGGATATGGATTAACTGACACTACGTTATACTATTGTATAAGTTCGCTTATTTCGACGCATAATTATGCAGCTAGACTCAATGTTTCGAGTTCCATTTTTTGCCACATTTGTAACGTGGTTGTGAGCAATTTTTTCTCCATTAAGTAACTAGCAAAGATAGGCAAAATATAAATGACTGATATTTTAATGCAAATAAGAAACTACTGTCAAACAAAATTTTATTTGTATCAAAATCAAACTAGTGTATGAAGTTTTTCATATGTTACAACTAGTTTATATATCTTAGAAGAAACTTTTGATTTAAAAAAAAAAGCGAAAAACAGAATTCCTCAAGAATGCCCAAAATGTTGCAGGCTCTGTTGGATTGAGCCTGTTCATGGACGGAACTGGAAAGTACCGTCCACATCATCTGGCACCGGTTGAAGCAGAATTCAACATTTAAACTTGAAGATGTTGAATTTGAATTAAGAAACATCCGAAGATGTGTTCATACGGCGGTTTATCATGGAACCTTCAATGTGACACGCTCGCGCCATTCCATGAAAAACTGCGTATGGTCCCAAAGTAAAAGATGCGTGTGTCCTAAAAGAGACAGCAATGGGCGAAACTAAATAAAATTGAATTTAGAAAGGGGACCAGAGGTTTTGAATCCCGCTTGCAACATATCTTTAGGACAATAATAAAGTATTCAAGTAGAGATACTGGAACCGCAAATCTAGAAAAGGTTCGAATAGAAAGAATAAAGGATACAACAAACCATTATATTTCTAGAAAAGAATTAAATTGAAGTAAAGCTGATTGCCATAAATCCCAACAGGATCTGTTTTTCTAAAAGTTTAAAAATAATGTCCTCTGCAGGAAACTTTTGAACTTGTTCAAAATGTAATTGAAAACTAGAACTATCACTAAATGTGATTAATACCCCCACAAGACTGCTTCGGAAATGAGGATGTTACTAGTAACAGAATACCTTGTAAACGAATTGAAATATAGAGTTATGGTTGTGGGCAATTAAAGATAGTTGTGGTTCTTATGTGTTGCATTTCCTTTCAATGTTGCATTTCCTTTCAATGTGGTTGGCCATTGATGAAGTTTAATTGAATTAGTCTGTAATAAGTCCAGAAAGACAAAGAAAAGGAACAAAGGGTAATAACTCTATAAATACAGAAGATAGAGTTATAGTTATTGTGCACTGCACTTCCTCTTATTGTGCTTGACCATTGTATGAAGTTGTTTTGAATTCCAACCAGTACGTTTTAAGTTATGCTCCTGACAAGAAAAAGTATCAAAGGGCAGTAACTCTGTATTTTGTCAAAATGGAGTTATTGCTCTTGTGCACTGCACTTCCTTTTAATGTCCTTGACAACTGTATGAAGTTGTATTGAATTTCAAACAGTAGTTTTCAAGTTATGCTCTGGACAAGGAAAAGTAACAAAGGGCAATAACTCTGAAATTAGTCAAGATGGAGTTATGGTTCTTGTGCACTGCACTTCCTCTCAATGTGCTTGACCATTGTATGAAGTTATATTGAATTCAAACCATTAGTCTTCAAGTAATGGTCCGGACACAAAGGCAATGGAAAAGTAACAAAGGGCAATAACTCTGTAATTACTTTAGATAGAGTTATGGTTCTTGTGTACTGCACTTCCCCTTATTGTGTTTGACAATTGTATGAAGTTGTTTTGAATTCCAACCAGTAGTTTTCAAGTTATGCCCTGGACAAGGAAAAGTAACAAAGGGCAATAACTCTGTAATTAGTCAAGATAGAGTTATGGTTCTTATGCACTGCACTTCCTCTCAATGTGCTTGACCATTGTATGTAGTTATATTGAATTCCAACCATTAGTCTTCAATTTATGGTTCCGGACAAAAAAATAAATGGAAAAGTAACAAAGGGCAATAACTCTGTAATTACTTTAGATAGAGTTATAGTTCTTGTGCACTGCACTTCCCCTTATTGTGTTTAACAATTGTATGAAGTTGTTTTGAATTCCAACCAAATGTTTTCAAGTTATGCCCCGGACAAGGAAAAGTAACAAAGGGCAATAACTCTGTAATTAGTCAAGATAGAGTTATGGTTCTTATGCACTGCACTTCCGCTCAATGTGCTTGACCATTGCATGTAGTTATATTGAATTCAAACAATTAGTCTTCAAGTTATGGTCCGGACAAAAAAAGCAATGGAAAAGCAACAAAGGGCAATAACTCTGTAATTACTTTAGATAGAGTTATGGTTCTTGTGCACTGCACTTCCCCTTATTGTGTTTGACAATTGTATGAAGTTGTTTTGAATTCCAACCAGTAGTTTTCAAGTTATGCCCCGGACAAGGAAAAGTAACAAAGGGCAATAACTCTGTAATTAGTCAAGGTAGAGTTATGGTTCTTATGCAATGCACTTCCTCTCAATGTGCTTGACCATTGTATGTAGTTATATTGAATTCAAACTATTAGTCTTCAAGTTATGGTCCGGACAAAAAAAACAATGGAAAAGCAACAAAGGGCAATAACTCTGTAATTACTTTAGATAGAGTTATGGTTCTTGTGCACTGCACTTCCCCTTATTGTGTTTAACTATTGTATGAAGTTGTTTTGAATTCCAACCAGTTGTTTTCAAGTTATGCCCCGGACAAGGAAAAGTAACAAAGGGCAGTAACTCTGTAATTAGTCAAGATAGAGTTATGGTTCTTATGCACTGCACTTCCTCTCAATGTGCTTGACCATTGCATGTAGTTATATTGAATTCAAACAATTAGTCTTCAAGTTATGGTCCGGACAAAAAAAAGCAATGGAAAAGCAACAAAGAGCAATAACTCTGTAATAACTTTAGATAGAGTTATGGTTCTTGTGCACTGCACTTCCCCTTATTGTGTTTGACAATTGTATGAAGTTGTTTTGAATTCCAACCAGTAGTTTTCAAGTTATGCCCCGGACAAGGAAAAGTAACAAAGGGCAATAACTCTGTAATTAGTCAAGATAGAGTTATGGTTCTTATGCACTGCACTTCCTCTCAATGTGCTTGACCATTGTATGTAGTTATATTGAATTCAAACTATTAGTCTTCAAGTTATGGTCCGGACAAAAAAAGCAATGGAAAAGCAACAAAGGGCAATAACTCTGTAATTACTTTAGATAGTGTTATGGTTCTTGTGCACTGCACTTCCCCTTATTGTGTTTGACAATTGTATGAAGTTGTTTTGAATTCCAACCAGTAGTTTTCAAGTTATGCCCCGGACAAGGAAAAGTAACAAAGGGCAATAACTCTGTAATTAGTCAAGATAGAGTTATGGTTCTTATGCACTGCACTTCCTCTCAATGTGCTTGACCATTGTATGTAGTTATATTGAATTCCAACCATAAGTCTTCAAGTTATGCTCCGGACAAGGAAAATGCAACGGACGTCTTGACCGACCGACCGACCGCCCGACCAACCGACCGACCGATCGACCACCGGGTGACTCCTATATACCCCCCCCCCCAAACTTCGTATTTGGGGGTATAATGAAAATGTATTTTCTTTTAGATATGTCATGCTGTTTGCAATTATAAAGATCACCTTGATTATATTTACTAATTACTGGTAAGCTTGAATGTATACATGCATACAAGTATTAAAACTGCTAGGAATCGCCTCGCAGCCGGGTATTTTTGTTATTTTCATTAAATAGAATCACTCCTAAACATTAGAGCATATGTTTCTACCTTTAAGAGAAAAACTCTGAATCCTGTTAGCCCTATAGGGGCCTTCACTGGTTTCGAGATTCGTACATGAAGATAGTTTTTCAATTCTTTATACGAGGAAGTCAAAGGCCGGGACCGCGAAGCCCAGCTAAAGTCTGCGCGTGTATATTTAAAAGAAATTAAATAAAAACAATTAAAGAAAATATAGAATTTTATACCAATCAATGAAATTTTCAGTGTCAGTCCTTGTCGGACGCCGCCATTTTCAATGTAACTCACTCATAATAGGCGGGATATTCCGATAACGAACAATCGCTACTTTTCGGATTATTAATCGTCAAGTATTCCAAGTGAAAACGGAAGCGGTGCATAAAATACCGAATGACACCTTGATACCGGAAAAAATGAAAGAATTGTTTTAACGGACTTCTCCGTACATAGGCTTTGCCTAAATTCACATTTTAGGTTATCATACAAAAAATATGGCGGCTGGCGTGCCCCATAGGCACCCTGTTCTGGTATATCCATTGAATCAACTTCATCTATCAAGTATCTTCAAACCACTTGCCCCTCACCGCTGTGGGTTCGAATCCCGACAGGGACTTTGGATTCTTTCATGTGATGAAGCTATCCAGCTAGCTTACGGAACGTCGGTGGTTCTACTCAGGTGCCCGTTCGTGCCTGAAATAATGCACGGAATGGCATCTGAGGTCTTCCTCCACCAGTAAAGCTGGAACGTCGCGATATGACCTATACTGTGTCGATGTGACGTAAAACCCAAAACAAAACAAACAAAACAAAATCAAGTATCTTGGGATTACTATAGACCAAAATCTGTCATTTTGAGCCATGGCCGAGTCTGTTCTTAAGAAGGCCAACTCTCGGTTAAAATTTCTTTACCGCAAGAAAGAGTTTCTTACTCAGCATACCAAGAAACTTCTGGTTGTGTCTCTTATTCAGTGTCACTATGTTTACGCATGCTCTGTTTGGTATAATAGCTTGACACAGTCTTTAAAAAATAAGTTACAAACTTGTCAAAACAAAATAATGAGATTTGTACTTGACTTGGATTCCAGAGCCCATATTGACCCATCCCACTTTAAGTCCCTTAACTGGTTACCGGTCCACAGAAGAGTTGAACAGATAATGTTGTGTCATGTTTTTAACAAAAAAATGGCCTGTCTGCGGATTACATGTCTGAACACTTTATTTCGCAAGATTCCGTACATAATTATAGTACAAGACTTAGTCAAAAGGGTGGGTATTGTCTACCTAAGGTCAAAGGTCAGGGTTCTAAATCCTAGTTAACGGAGATCAACAGGCTACAAAGTTTTAAGGTTGCCATCAAAAGTCATCTTATGAACAGTATTTAATTTTTTTTTACTATGTTTTTACATATTTCGGCTCAGGATTTTAAATTGTCTGCTATTTATCTTTTTACAATTTTAGTAAAGTGTTTTAAATCCTAGCTGTAAACAGGAGTATCATTAACTCAAGATTTGACTGTGATATACATATTTATGATTTATTAGTATTTTTAAACATGATTATATTTAGGTCTGACTCTATATGTCATGCCGCCAATACAAAGAACCACAATGGAAATAAGAGCTTTTTTGCCCTTTTTGTGTTATCCTTGGTTTTGGTGAGCATGTCATAGTTTTCTCGTATGTGATATAGTATTTAATAATGCTCATTAGTTTATCCTATGTTATGTTGTCAACTATGTATATATGCTTCCTTTGCCGAAATAAATCTATCTATCTATCTACCACCCCTTTTTGAGGTCTTCGTCGTCCGTTTTGTTATCGTAGTAAATACTCCATTCTGATTGGCTTAGAGCAGGCTGTGAACGGACAGAAATGGTCAACTTACTTTTCGTTTCGGAATTTTCAATCATAGCCATGGATTTGTTTAAATATTCTAAAATTATGTTTGACAATATTTTTCGTCCTCTTTTGAACTACATTGAACGTACACATTTTTCTATTTCCCGTATGGGAAATGGGTTTTTTTTTAATTTAATTCTAATCTTAGTTATTTATTTATTATAATTCATATTTCATTCAGTTGGCTGGTCATCTTTATCATATCTAAACGAAATACTCTACATTTCGGTTTTCCAAAATTTAATGTTACATCATAGGCAATGATTTAATTTATGTCGGTTTTCCAAAATTTAATGTTACATTATAGGCAATGATTTAATTTATTTTGGTTATCCAAAATTTAATGTTACATTATTTGCTATGATTTAATTTATACACCATTTTATCTATATAACCGTCACGTGTTCACGTCATTGTTCATTTTTGATAGGTAAGTTGATCCGAATGTATAAAGGACTTTGTACATTTGATTATTGTTATTTCGTTTTTAAAATACAATGGACACAGAACTGATGACAGATAGCGAACATCAAAATTTCGTTTCTATTTATCGAGGTTTTGCATATGTAGGGAAAACATTGGAGAGTTACACAAAAGAAGGACTTTGTAAAACGTATCACAAGATTTATAAGAATTTAGCCGGTAATCCTCCATGCAGTCGAGAGTGCAGTAGAAATTATAAATATGACTTTAATAAGTAAGTAAAATTTATTGTTCTTTCAACCTTTCATTTTGAAAAAAATAGATTAATTCCTATCTGAGGAGTTTATTCTATTTTAACGTAATTTTACAATCCTTTATATTTATCTTAAACTTAAAGGTTTTATGTTACACATATGATAGTGATCACTTTTTCTACAGTGGCCAATATTGACATAATAGATAACCATTTTCATAAGTTTTCACAAACAAGTATAAAGGGAATGTTATATAACTTGTGATGAATTTTTTAACATCGTAAGGTAAAATATTAAGGTCCTTTAAATCAAGGTCACACTAAGAAGAGATCAAAGGATCAAAGGATAATATGAAGAAATAAAATACAAATTAAATTGAATACTGGTCATTTAGTTGTAATGAATGGTGGCTTTTAATGAAATGTTCACTATTGTGAATTGTGATTATGAGCATTTGTGCCGGGGTTTTTTTTTGTTGTTGTTGTTGTTGTTGTTTTTTTGTTGTTGTTGTTGTTTGTGGGTTTTTTGTTGTTGTTGTTTTGAAGAAAGGATTTGGTGCTGCATTTGTGCAAGTCATTCTATTGTAAAGAATATCGTACAAAGCTAAAATTGTTGTTTTTGTATGAAGCAAGGTTAATTGAGTAATTGATTGATAATTGATTACAATCAATTTTTGGTTCTAAACATTGGTTTAATGATAAATGTAAATCTACTAGACGTGATTTTCACAGAGCTAAATATTTGTATAAACTGAGAAAAACAAATGAAAACAAAACAAATTTGAAATTTAAAAGTCATGAGTAAAAAAATGCATTAAAACAAAGTCATAAAGAATATAAAATACATAACATTGAAAAAAATAAGGAAATTGGGTAAATCTGTCATGTGTACGTGTTAATGGTAATATGAATGATTATTTCATATGTAATATTGGAGTACGTCAGTGTGAAAATCTTTCACCGATTATATTTTCATTGTATTTAAATGATTTATATGAATATTTTACTTACAATAATGTTTCCGGTGCAACATGTAGCAATCACGATTAGAGGATAGTGCTTTTAACTATTTAAAACTGTTCTTTTTATTGTACGCAGATGATACTGTATTTTTTGCTGATACAAAAGATGACTTACAACATGGTTTGAATATTTATAAAAACTATTGTGATACCTGGAAACTTACGCTCAATACAACAAAGACTAAAATTTTCGTTTTTACAAGTGGACGACGCATGTCATATAATTTTGCTTACGGAAATGAACTTTTAGAAGTTGTAGACGAGTATAAGTATCTTGGTATTCTTTTCAGTAGAAGTGGGTCCTTTTTCAAAGCAAAATTATGTATTGTGAAACAGAGGTCCAAAGCTATGTATAGTCTTATAAAAATTTGTAAAATGTTAGAATTGCCAATTGACATGCAAATAAATTTATTTAACAAAATTGTAAAACCTGTCCTACTGTACGGATGTGAGATATGGGGTTTTGGTAATATTGATTGTATTGAAAGAGTACAGTTTAAATTTTTAAAATATATTCTAGGTTTAAAGTCAAGTACATCAAATTGTATGGTTTACGGTGAAACTGGTATTAAACCACTATCTATTGAAATTAAATGTAGAATTATATCATATTGGTCTGACTTAGTCATACCACGACAGAACAAGTTACCGTGTTTAATATATCGTATTTTTTAAATAATTTTAATAACTCCCAGACTGTATCTAAATTAAGATTTCAGTGGAAAAAAATTTGTTCAGAATATTTTGTATGAATGTGGACTGTATAACATTTGGCATAACCATGAATTTCATAGCCATAAATGGTTAACGATGTCAGTCAAACAAAAATTATCAGATTTATTTTTAAATAAGTGGTATTCTGATATTGAGAATTCTAGTAAATGCACAAATTATAAACAATTCAAACATAATTTTTGTTTTGAAACATATCTTGTAAAAATTCCATCAAAATTTTTACAATACATGATAAAATTTAGAACAAGAAATAACAAATTGCCAGTAGAAACCGGAAGTTGGAACAACATCGAACTTAACAGGTGTGTCTGTACATTGTGTCATAGATCCATTGGTGATGAATTCTATTATAGTTTTGAGTGTGTTTTGATATCGGCAGGAAACGTTTTTTGAAACCGAAACATAATATACATTCTATTGATATACTTATGAACACTGATGTTAACCTTCCAGATTACAAAAAAAATTGTTTATTTATTAAAGAAATTATATTCAGATTCACATGAGCCAAAAAATTTATAAATTTAATGTTGTGAAGATCCCTATTGAAGTATTTGTTTTAATACTGACTCTCCCACAATATTTATTTTAACAATTTATATATCATGTTATTTTGATACTGTCTGATTCTGAAGCCTCATTTATTATGTACACGTAATTGTATTATTACCTCATGTTGTCATGTTTGTATGATCTGAGTGAATAAATGAATTGTAAAATTGTGAAAACGGACAAAATCCCACACGTCAAAACACCCACACCTCAAAACTTTATAGATTGAACAAAACCCCACACATGAATTTTATAGAGTGGACAAAACCCCACATCTTTGATTTTATAGAGTTGACATAACCCCACACCTTAATTATTAATTTGTATAGACTTTTGATTGACAATAAAATAATCAACATTGTTGACACTTAGATTAATGAATGTTTACCCTTTGATTTTTATTGAACAGTTTGAAATATTTTAGTTTACTCTTTGATCTTTACTTAACAGTTTGTAATATTCATTAAGTATAGTGTTTTATCATGCAATCATATTGCATTGTATACTGAAATAAAATTTAAGATACCATTTATTTTCATGATCAGAGGAGCTATGTAAAATAATTAAAGTAACTATATTAAACTTTAGTAAATCTTTTCTTCAAAGTCATATGAATTGTATGGTGACAAATAAGTAGAAAGTGTAGCGCTATGTCCACTCTGGAAAATTAAAGGTGTGGGACTTTGTCCACTCTATAAAATTCATGTGTGGTGTTTTGTCCACTCTATAAAATTTTGAAGTGTGTGGTTTTGACGTGTGGGGTTTTGTTCTACATTCTCAATGTACAGTAGAATTCCTACTTAAGGCAACATTGGAACCAAGATCTCCCCTTCTTAAGACCATTTTTAAAAGGTTATTTCTGTCAATGGTTACATGATCCAGAATTAAGACCACCCCTCTTATCCACTTTTAGGACCACCAGATTCAGTCATAAGTCTCTGTTTTATTCTTATTTTGACCCAACTATTGAGACCTCTGATATTAAAGTCAACACCTATCTAGATCTTAAATTTGCTGTTATGATCTGCGTGACTGCTCTTTGGCATGGCACTTGATTTCACAAGGTGTGAAAACTGTTATTATGCTTAAGGTATTTAAGGTTAGCTTTTAAAAAAGCTAGTAGTATATATGAAGATGCATGTAAACAGAGTAAATACATACACTAAATACCGGTGGGGGAAAATCCCGGGATCGCCTATAGAAAAGCCCGGATCCAGGATCGTATTAAACATATAGTAATCCCGGGCATTGACAACCTGTTCTCGGTGTCATCGACACAGAATCAGACTTGTAATGTTCAAATAATTTTTCTCCTATCAATATATGAGTATATTGTACCTTTAAAAATATTAAAGCAAACGTTTCAATAGGACAGATTATCATTTTCCCTATGAAATCATTACCATACGTGTACACTATTTTAAACAGGATATCTTTGATCTAACATATCACATTCAGAAAAGCCGGGATGGTATTAGATATATAGCGATCCCGGGAATTAACCACTGCCATATCATATTCAGAAAAGCCGGGATCGTATTAACCCATAACGCGATATACACGCCTTTTAACGCCTTTTTCATCCCCCTTTTTCTCCCTTTTTTTGTTGTCTCAAATGGTGAAAAAATGCCTTATTTAGGCCCCCAACACTTGTTTTTGGTTGAGAAAAGTTGTTTAAAAAAGTGACCACTTCTTGCGCGCGGCCCCCAACCAAAAGATACATCAGGAGGGTGCCAGAAGTGGGATGTGCCCCCTTCTGTTTGTGGGGTTTGAAGGGGGCGGCAGTCCCCCTCATCGCCAAGAAAATTTTGGACTTGTGACAGGCTAAAAATGACCCCATATCGATCATAAGGTAACGTGTAAGAAACGCTGAAAGCATTTGACTCTATCTCACTCCATTAAGAAGCTGCAGCACTTTGAAATCAATTCTGATGGAAAAATCTTTTTTGTTATCAATTATGTTAAGTATATCTTATGATCTTTTCTAAAACTAATATTTAAATACATTAACATAAAATTTAGCCAAATATTATATTAACAAAAACTTTGATTTTTTTCAATTAGGCATATAATTACAAGTATTGCGATTTCCGCATTTTAAGTTTGTTAATAAATAGCTCTAAATATATTTAAATCTTAAGTTAAATTAATTTACCATTCATTACATACAATAAAAAATAAAAAAATATCGTTTAATCGCCTTTCATTACGACAATAATCAACACAAATATAGTTTATTCCTTTTCTCTATATATCTAATACTATCCCGGATCCCGGGTCCCGGATCCCGGGATCCCCCCCCCCCAACCCTAAATACCGGAAAGGATAAAATGACCGGAAAAAAAAGAAAAAGAAAAAAATGCACAGAACCAGATGTACACTTATGTTAACTAACCAAACGAAAACTTACTACAGAGAAAACAGGTGAAATCGCTAAATCAAAAGTCAGTGTAAATATGATTTATTGAAAAGAATTCATGAAAACAAACATTTTAATCATCATTATATCTTTGCACTCAAAACAATACTTGCTGCTTTTTAAAAATGGCGTGAAAATTTAAGGTTTTTTGACGCTATGTAAGATTAAATTTGATTGGCTAAATAATTTTGGATTCCAGTCCTGACAGATAAATTTTGTAGAAAGCTGGAAGCCAAGCTTCGATTAAACTTTTGGATGGATTCGGAGTTTTAGGTTGTTTCTCAGTAAAATCCTAACGTAATACCGGCTAGCCGTGGGCTTCACGAATTCGAAAACCTAGCTAAACGCCGTTTTCCGGTACTTTCTGTACATAGCTCTGAGGAATTCACCTAATGGAGTGTAATAGCGAACTCGATGTTTTCGGCATTTTTTTAAAAAAATTGAATTGAAATAAAACAGTTATTTCTTTATAAGATAATAAATAAATATATTGTATGGAAAATTCCATACAAAAACTAAAGTAAATACACAAGTTTACGCAGAAAATAACCTTATTTATTATGGAAGATTCCACTATGTCTGTTTTAATTTAATCACGGATTTATATTAATTGATTTTCATTATAAACAATTTATCTTTTTGAAAAAAATGCAATAGATATTAAAGGAATATTGATAATTTTCAAAAACATCAATTTTTTCACATTAAACGGTAAAATAATGATAGAAAAATAGAAATATCATGTAACTGTGTTATGTACTTCATTTGGTGTAATTCCCCAGAGCTAAATCCGTAACGTACCGGAAAACGGTGTTTAGCTAGGTTTTCGAAAAGGTCAGAAGGTAAATGTTATAGTGGTTCCAGCACATTTATCTTGTGAATAATTATTTTTTTATTTAATAGGTGGCTATGTAAATAATTGATATTGAAAATTTGAAGTCAGACCAAAGAGATTTTTTTAAAAATATGATAGCATACTTTTATAGTGTCTTTTATATTGTATATGTAGGTCACTTTTATAGTGTCTTTTATATTGTATATGTAGGTCACTTTTATAGTGTCTTTTATATTGTATATGTAGGTTAAAATACATATTATTTGTTCATACTAAATGACTAAAATAGACCATGGACATAATATATGTTAGCAATGATAAGAATATTCACAAATAAGGCCAACTCGCAATAAAGACCACTTTGGTCCAGCCCGATGGTAATTTTATTTGAGGGTTTTTTTACTGTATAACTTTTATACAAAATTTAAACTGTATCATGTAAAGGAATGGCATTCTTTCAAATTCAATAGTTTCCTGTTTAATCTGAAAATAATCAATTTCAATCAAATTGTTATCATAATATCTGACTGAATTTAAGCTGTAATTGATTAATTACAGTTAATATAATCAATATTGGGCAAGGTAATCAAATAATGATCAGGCAATCAATTAAAAATAAATGATAACAATTAATGATTTCCCCAGGCCTGGTGTTGAGTTTTTTAAACATAAGATTGTACATAACTTTAACAGAAAATTAATTATAGCATTGGTTTATTCACAAGAAGTTTATCTATACAGCTGATATTAGTTATGTGCACCAACACTGTTATTATGAGATAATGAATGATAAGAGCAAAATTATCAAATATGATAAAGGGAAGTTACACAAAGTATTAATTATGTTGGATAAATGCATAGATATTTATAGCACATTACTTATTGAAATTAAATGAAGGCAGAAATTTATCGTTGACCTCCGTGGCAAATTGAGTAGACACATTTAGTACATTTCAAGGCCAATGCCAAATAGGTTAGAAAGTAAAGCTTGTCATTACATTAAGGGATTGAGATATAACTGTGCACAAAAGTTGAGGCATAGTGTTCAGCTCAATATTCAGGTCTCTTTGGCCAAGATCAACCGAAAGGTAGATGAATAAAACGAATATGAAAATTAGGAATTGATCATTAAATCATTGTAATTATAAATTTTTACTATTTCGAGACTAAGCAATTAAAACGTGTGTATTTTTTTGACTATTTTTTTTAACTTTCAGATGGTGCAAGACGTGTAATCATTGGCGAATTTTACTACTAAAAACAAGAAAGTCATCGAATGTTTCTTGGGAATGTAAGCATTCTTGGACATGGCCAAATGGATATACAAACATTATTGAAATTTATATTCCAGCTGGATGGCAAAATGGGCAAAATGATGCCATTGACATTAAAGATATGTCAACTGCATGTTATATCTGGGAAAATTGTTCACAACAGTTTCACGTAAAACCATTCATCATACAGAAAATCCGACAATTCAGAAATCAATATTTTGCCCATAACACTTCTCTAAAAGCATCTGACTTAGAGAAAAGAAGAGTGTTTGATGTTTTAAAGGATTTGTTGCAAAACCCGGATGTACAATGTCATATTAATGTACAAAATTGCATCAAAGACCTTTCGAACATTGAGCAAGGATACCAGATAGAAAAATGGATGATTGGCATTCAAAATCTTGTAACACAGCACGGGTCTACAATGCATGAAATTGAATTAAATGCATCAAACCTACAAGAACATAATACCATTCTACATATAAGGCAAGGGGACATTCAGAAAAGCCAGGACAACTTGATTAAAGGGCAAGATGATTTACGGAGAGATGCTGAAATCATTCAAAAAGATTTAACACAATTCAGAATAGACATGAACAAGTTGTTTCAAAGAAACGAATCACGTGTCCCTAGTTGCAAAACATTGATTACTGTAGTTTTTTCAGTTTTGCTATCAATAGTCACTATACTCATGTTAGGGAAAATTGTCTTCAAACATATTGAGCATGAATCAACAAATGACGATTTTCAAAATCGAGGTATATTTTACTTTAGTGATACATATTTATAGATAAAGTTTGAATATTTTTTTGTCTTCAAATTTAATTAACTCTTCTTCATTGATAAACCTTCTAGGTATGTTTGGTCGTATATCAGTTTACCTTGTGTGAATTTGCCATATATGCATTATATAATAAATAATTCGCCATTTTGACCATTGATATTAAACGTTAAAAAAAATCGACGTTCTATTAAATTGTATTGTATGCCTCTTAAAGTGGTCATCAATAGTGTGACTTGTTGTTTGTCTATCACTAACATAATAGTTTCCTTTACCATCTTTGGAAAATATGCATCCTGCTTTATGTGATCTTAAATGATATCTTATTCGAGGAACTTACAGCTCTTGACAAAAGCTCCTATCAAGGCGCGTATATCTTGTTAATGTTCAATCTTGTTTTGCAGAATGCATGTCAGAACAATACAGTGTACCGTTTTCTCAAGATCTTCCACTCCTGGGGTATTTGAATGAGCACAAGGCACTTGTTGGTCGTCAATGGTTAATGGAAAGATTGCAACACGATCTGTTTAATTCTAACAGCAGTAAAAACCATGGTATTGTACTTGTTGCTGAAATGGGTTACGGTAAATCTGCTTTTGTTTCAAAACTATTATGTCCTAAGTCAATGAATATAGACAAAGAAATTCATAAACACATTGTTGCATTTCATGTATGTAAGTTTGATGTTAGAAGCACTCATTTTCCAGAACGATTTATACGCAGACTTGTTGGATTTTTCTCAAAGAGAAGTGCAGAATATGGTAACATAGTATCAATGTTGCCTGAGAGCCACATTTTGTTTAACAGAGAGAATTGTAACAAAGAACCAGAAGCTTGCTTTGATCAGGGCGTAACTATACCACTGAAACAGTTATCTAGTGTCACAGATACACCGTGGATTGTAGTTGTAGATGCAATTGACGAATGTGAGAGCTATGGAAGAAATTCGATTTTAAGTCTTTTGTCAAATAGAATTAAGCAGCTTCCAAAATGGCTGAAATTTCTTATTACTTCTAGAAATATCACAAATCTAAAATCGCTCAGAAAAATGAAGTTTGAATATTTGTACTCAAATGACTCAAGAAATATAGAGGACATAAGGTTTTTTATTCAAAAAACATTTCCTGAAAACACTAAAGAAGACGTTATAAACAAACTTGTCCATAAAAGTGAAGGACACTTCATTTATATCATCCAGGCTTTAAAATGGATTATCGATAACAATGATACTGAAACCGTCCCAGACTTTCCTGCAGATCTAGGCGACATCTATGATATCAATTTCGGTAGGCAGTTTGGTGATACATCTTACAGTATTCCAAAATTAATATTGGAGATCATTTGTTCCGCAATGAAACCTATTTCAAAGTCAGAAATTTTCACCATTCTTAAATCTTCAAAACTTTCATTAACAGTGGATGAATTTGATCTATATTTTAAGTCCTTAAGCTTCTTCCTTAGAATAAATGGGGATATTCGAATTTCTCACCAAGCTTTGTATCTTTGGTTGATTGATAAACACAATGATAATTATCGAATATCTCTTCAGAATGGGCATGCTTTAATATCTAAATATTTGTTCAGCATGATGTTTAGAAATGAAAGGAAAAATATTGTTAATTTAGCGATCCATGTTACAAACTCTGGTAATTCAGCTTTAAGAAAAAGGTTTCTGTCGTCAACATTTTTGGATCGTAATGGATTACTAAAGGATCCTGTTTTACATAAATTAATTTGGAAAACACCAAGTACTCAGGCTCTAGAGTTATTGATACATCATTTCAAAGACGTCAATGGTTTAAGTGAAGGAAATGTAACACCATCATTTGTGGCAGCAGCGAAAGGACATACTGACCAGTTAAAACTTTTACATAGCAAAGGTGCAAATTTAAACTTTATTGTTAAAGGTCAAATGTTGATAAATTCTTACGATGTATTCAGTAAGCTAGAAATGATGAAGTTGTATTATTATTCAGGATATAGTTTGTTGCATATTGCATCGCAACATGGACATATTTCAACTGTAAATTATATTTTGACAAATAATCATTCTTTAATTCATGTAAAAAATAGTCTGGGTTTGAATGCTGGCCATGTTGCATGTGAGAATGGCCATTTAAATGTAGTCAAACAGTTTAAGAATCTTCATTCCAAAACATTTCTCTATGAATGTATGTATTATGCTTCTAAACAAAATCATATCCATGTAGCGGAATGGCTTGTATCGAATGGATTTACGTTTGAATGTATTTCCGACAAACTTTCTTCTGATGCTTTTCAAAATATAACAAAGGTAGATCATTTTCGGCTTATTGAACATGGTTTTGCTACTTTTCCAAACGATTCTGTTACATTACGCCTAATTGTGCCATTAGATATTTGGTGGATTGTTTTTAAACATAATCCACTTATGATAGCAATCAAAACTGGTTCAAATGATGTAGCAAAATATCTACATGATACGTATCAAGAAGCACGAAAGTGTTATGATGCATTTGGGTTCACTGCGGCGCTTGCAATTGTTCGCTTTAACCGTACTGAACTTTACCCACTAATAAACAAAGGAATAGCTTCGGACAGATGTGGAAAAATTCCAAACCATCTAAATGATGTTGAGTTAATAGACACTTACTTAATAGAGAAATGTCCTCAAGGCGGTTCAGTATCACATGTTGTTGCTATATTTGCTCCAGGTTACCAAATTTATTCTCATGTTATCGGCAATAGCCTCGGTGTGAACTGGAACCATCCCGATAGCTTTGGAAATTACCCAATTCATTATGCTGTTGCTAACCGAAATTTTCTTTTTCTTTTTTTGTCTGAAAAAGGAACACTTTTATCAAAAAATAAACATTTTTCACTTATAGATACATTGGCCTTAAATGGCTCTACTGCTTTTCACACATCCGCAATTTCTGGCCAATACCTAAGCATGTATTACCTAACTGATTATTTCAAGAAGCCAGTTCTGGACATAAAAGACTATAATGGACGTGGAATAACACATTATTTAGTTTTAAAAGAGTTTGATAGCGTTGTAAGCAGTCCAGAAATGGAATCGCATGCGCTATCATTACATACACTTCGCTATTTGCTGGAGATATCAAACCATTCTCTTAATGCCCGTGATGGTTTTGGTAGAAATATATTACACTATTGTTTAAAAAATGGTCATTACCTTATAGTGTCATACTTGCTTAAACATCAGAAGACACACTTTTACTCTATGATATCGCATAAAGATAACGAAGGAAATAATCCAATTGATTTTGCTATGAAGAAGTACAAAAGAAAGACTTATATGATAGTTTTGCCAGACAATGATACGTTTTATGACATATATTTCAATTTTGCGAATATCAAACAAGAAAACTTTTCAAACATTATGTCGTCATGGGAACTTTCCATGCTTTTGATAATACAAACATTATCTGCTCAAGAATACCGTCTCTTCATTGAGCCTAATTCAAAATATATAATGGAGAAAAGTCCATACCTTCTTACAGCTGTATTGGTTTATCATAAAAATGTAAATGTAAAAAGACTGCAAGGTTTATTAGTAAACAGAAACATAAACCCTCTTACTGTTTATATGCATTTTGTCGTTGCCCGCCACAAACCATTGGCATTTATTTCATGTAACCAACCATTATCATTATCACCTTTGCATTATGTATTACTTACGCATGATCATAGAGTTTCGGTGTTTAATTTAAATTACATTGATTTGCGTAATTTTCTATACATGATTTTCAAACAAAATAAAAAATCATATGCATTTAAATGTCCCGATGGGAATGGATTGAATATATTTCACTATTCTCTAATAGGTGGTAATATTCAATCGGCCAGAATCCTCATGTGGGAAAACATCACCGTCACAAACGAATATGTAACTTTAGAAGATGTTTTCTTTATGACAATGCAATCTCGTCTTAAATCTGACCAACGTAATTATATTAAATGTAATGAACATCCATCCAGCAAAGCACAGGAAACATGTACAGATAAATTTCTACTAGAATTGTTTTATACAAAAAAGAAATGGCTTAATTATAACTTTTTCTGCAATAATAAGTCCAGAAAATTGTCACTTGTGCATTTTCTTGCAATTAATGGAATGGCTCGAACACTTGAAACTATTACAGAGGCTTTTGGCAGACAGATATTAGCTTGTCAAAGTGTAGACGGTTTTACCCCACTGTATTTTGGAAAGCTCTTTCGCCAAGACGCCATTGTGTCAGTTGTTGGTGGGCATTACGCTTTAAAGCTTCCAAATGTCCAAGCTGAAGAATGGTTAATCTGGTCTATGCTAAATAAGTTCCCACAAACAGACATTTTCGAACCATTATTTCAATTTTCAAAATCGTTGCCCCTGTCGCCATACTCTTCAAGGTGCTTGTTGAAAGAATCAGTTTTTGTTTCCAAATTATTCAAAAATTCACTTTCTGTTCCTGTCATAGATTCTTCCCATCTTTGTGATAAGGCACTAGGTTATACGTTATCATCAGAAGTACCAAATATTTCACTAAACATTCGCTTTTTGGAACCATTTTACTTTAATAAGGTATCAATTTCTTGTAGTTCACGAGTAGCTTTACTTATACACCAGCACAAGTTTTTTAGAAAATCTCTGGGGTTTTTCGAAACTGTACAATACATGGAAAGAAAATGCCAGGTTTTTAAAACACTTTTAAGACCATATGTTGTCAAATTGTACCAAATAAACAAGCTATTTACACAATTAAAAGCTAGAATAATCAAAGGTTGTGAAAAGGAATCTAGTTTTAGATTAGAAGGCGTGAAAACATATCAGTTAATTGTATCATCAAAAAAGTTATGCTTTAAACTCCATCAATTGTATAAAGCTGTGGCCATTTCTTTTCTTATGCAATATGGAAAATCTTTTAATATTTTAGTACCAAATTCTTACAGCTTTTTGCATCAAAGAATGAAATTGCTCAAATTTAATGATTATGAAGATTTTAGTCTGTTACCAAAACTACATCCGCTTGTTGCAATTAATGACAATTCTCTATATAAATATAGATATTTGAACATTGTAAAGTCAACATTAGCTTATAAACGTTTAATAGATCAGTCTGAGACTGAAGCACATGTTATCGAGAATATTCTGTTAAAAGAACCTCTTAAAGATTTACAGTAATTAAAAGAATATTGAGTATAGCGTATTGACTTATATCAATCACTTGAAAAAATTGCCCAGATGTGACAGATACCCAAACATCTGAATGTTTTGAAAAATATCTACAATGTTAAATATATGTAAAATAAAAAAATCAAACACTTTCAATTTTAGAAAGAAATTAAAGATCCTGTAAGTTTAGTACGACACTTATACATGTATGTATATAATTATGCTTCTAACAATTTTCAAACATCGAAGAATATGTAAAAGATGAACTTCAAATATTTGCCCACATATTAATCATTAAAATATATGCATTCATTTCTTATTGAAAAAATTATTGACATATTCTTTATAGAAAATAAATTTCTAATTGCCTCCCTTTATTAACATGAAATATATATTCTGTAATATCTTTACAAATGATGCTTTTTGGAACTTACAATATTGATAAATATTCATTTGAGCATTATATTTATGATAAAAAAACATAAAAAAGAGTTACAGGATCTCATATATATGATTTATTTTGTTAGTATGTAAACTTTTCTATACATTTTGCAAAATTGTTGATATATATAAGTACATGTATATTGATTAGCTTTTCGTAAAAAAAACTATTTTTGTATAGCTTTTGTTGGTACTTATACGTATGCTTACATCAATTTTAAATGTAATTTATTAATAATGTCAATGATTAAAATGACATGACTTTTAAGAGTTAAGGTTGTTGACAGGTTAATAACAGCCGAAATAAATATATACATAAATGTTTATACGTTCCTGATTACAAGTTATACATTTATTAACTTTGGAAAAATACACATAATATGTATTTTTATGATGACTTCATGTATGTTTTTGCAAAATTACATAGAATATATATTTTTGAACAGTTATTTTAGATTTAGTTTTGTATATTATTTCAATTATATGTATGTAATTCGTCTTGATTTACATGTATCAACTTGATTTCTTTTTCAATTTTGCCGTGTTGGGGCTTTCTTTAGAGATTCTTATTTTCTCTATTTTATCGCCACATCAGCGTTGTGTGTGCCGCGTGGAGGCTGTAAAAAGTCGCCCCGTACATTCAATCAGAGATGTTATATTTCCAGTATTCCTTACTTGAATACTGTTGATTCACCTTTAGGATATGTGGCCTGCTTTTTAAATTTGTCTTCTGACGTCTTTTCTGTGATATGCAGGCTTCATAACCTCTGATTCGCTTTCAAATTGTTCCGCCCATTGTTTTCTCGTTTAGGGCACACGCATTTCTTTACTTTGGGACCATATGCCGTTTTTCATGGAATGGCACTTACGTGTCACATTGAAGGTTCCATGATAACCGCCATATGAACAATTCTGCGGATGTTTCAAATTTCAAAATTGTACCAGTTCATATTAAATGTTGAATTCTGCTTAAGCCGGTGCTAGAAGGCGTGGACGGTAGTTTGCACTTGACAGTACCGTCCATGAATAAGCTCAATCAAACCGAGTCTGCAACATTTTCAATTTTGCCGTGTTGGGCTTTCTTGAGGGATTCTTATTGTCTCTATTTTATAAAAACGATTCATTACAGTAAAATAAAAGAAAAGAATTATTTTTCCATTTTTGTTAATTGTAAATAATAGTTATTTAGGAGGCCATATTTAGAAATACAATTGTTTGCGGGACAATGATAAGAATACCACTTTTGGCAGGACAATAAAAGTTTTGCTTTCATATAGACATGCGTATATGCAGAATGAAAACGGTACATGATCTTTGAATATGATAAAACAAACATTTTTAGTGAAACAAATTGAAGTTCTTGTTCTTGAGTTATCTGCCCTCGGGATGTAAATTTTCTTCGAAGATCTGTACATAGTGGTCCTCTTTGCCTAAGCTATACAGAAGCCTTGGAATTTGCGAGAACATTATTTAACAGAAGCTTGGGTTAATATTGCATTCATCATCATGTTAATCTTTCATCACTGTTAAATAATAATTGGAATTGTACATTTTGGATTTATTAAGTAAATGTTTTCATAGACAACGTTTTGTAAAAAGTAACCTGTGCTGTGCTATAATTATGGTACAAATAGCTTTAAATCAAAAGTATTATGATTTTTGCGTTTTGAAATTATAGTAAAATATTATTTTAAATTTGTTTTTAATATTCCGGTGTCGACAGTTACTTCGCACTTAGTAAATAAGCGAGTTATTTCCCTTGAATTATTATTTCCCTATTTTTATAAAATAAAGCATCTTTACAAATTTTTGTACACTATTTTAAATGCTTAAATGATCTGCTGTACATGTTTAATGATGATGTAAATGATTGTGTACTTTGAAATTTCATTCCATTCTATAGTTATTCCCCTTTAATGTGTTAATTCCCTGTTCTTTTAATAAAGATAATTTGTCTTGTACTATTTTAAATGTAAAATGATTTTACTGTACATGTTCAATAATCATGTTAATGATTGTGTACCTTGTATTCATTTCATTCTATAGTTGTTTTGTTTTATTCTTTTTGTAATAATCATTCGAAGTTCGGATTATAATAAAATCAAAAGTTAAATTCATTTTGAATTCTTGATTCCAGCCAGGCCCCTTCCATTTCGTAAGTCCCTTAGACGTCCAATAGGTACTCCTCGTATCATAGTGCATATAACCAAGAAATCATCGCACATATCAACGAAATTCTTACGCATATCAACTGTATGAATGATAGCTTCCTATCAAATCAAACTGAATTAAATTATATTATAAATTAATATCTAAGCCCTGGGCAATGTAGAGTCTGAAATAGTTTCCTATACAAGTCAATGCAACAAAGAGGCTGAGGGGAGGACCAATTAAGGCACAAAGGTGTTGTTTCAGCAAAGTATATGGACGTTCACCAGACAATAGTGTGCACTTATAATATCTGAGTTATAGGCCTTGTACTTATTAAGAGTTTTGAAATGTTACTATTCCCACTCGAGTCTATGTAAAATAAATTGTCGTAGGGCGACGCCAATTTTTCAGCACAGTCTTAATTTTAACAAACTTTGTAGTTGTTTAATTGGCATTGCTACATATAAATACGTTTTGGGCGTGTGGTTTCAGAGAAGCTTTATAGATTACACTTTTGTGTCCCTTTTAGCACCTGTGACTCGGACATATTCTCAATAAACCATAACTATTTGTACATTTTTACAAGAGGATCCAACAATTGTGACAAGGTGTAATGCATTTTTTCAAAGAGGGTCGACATTGTACGAGGCCAGGATTCAAAATTCTGATACCATAAACCCCCGCCCCTACCTCTGGGTGGGAGTACAGGCAGTCGGTGCGTGAATTGGATACTATACATATGCATGGCCCCTTTTTTTTTTTAAATCAAATACTTATTTATTCAAAATGTTTTCAAAAAAAATCAAATTTTTAGTAAAACAACAAAAGAAAGTTTTTCTTTTAATTTCATCCATATAATACTATAAATAAAGACTTATTTATAGTATCAATTGGGTTAAATTAAAAGAATAACTATTTTTGTTGTTTTACTAAAAATTTGATTTTTGAAAACATTTTGAATAAATAAATATTTATCAGAAAAAGGTGGGGGAGTGGTCATGTACATGTATAGTATCCAAGCCTCGCACCGACTACCTCTGGGTGGGAACATGCTACGAACCTTATACTTATTGACAAGTTTCGTACAGTACAGACCAGTGGTGTCATGAGAGAAGTTGTTTGAATGGAAAGTTGACAATCAACAGACATGTGGTAATATAAAAATTGCTATAAACCATACAGTATAAAAGACAATGAAATATAGACAAAAAACAGCTATAGTGACTTAATTTTTTTATTCAATGTTGAACAAATGAAATTAACAAACGAGTATTTATTCAAGGCTTAATGTGTCATGCATATAAACTTAAAAATGTGACAATAATTTATAATCTTGAGTTGCCTTTTTTATCTTTTAATGAGTAATTTATTTATTTATCTCTCATTAAAGTAAGTATTGTTCAAGTAATAAAATCTTATTTGTCTTAGAGCCATTTTCAGGGTTATCATTGTTCTAAAAATAGTATTTTATTAACAAACAAGATTAAAGATCTACTAATGGAAAATGAGAAGTTACAAAACTTTTGATCAATGAAAAAAGCATATAATAAAAATTTCAAAAATGGTATAAGGTTGTTTTATATTATTTCGATCAATTCTGAAGTAAGTTTGAAATAAAAAAAGAATAGGGCAATGACCACCCAATATGGCATCAGCAAATATCAAAGCTCTGGGCATTGTAATTTCACACAAGAATATATAAACATGTCTTCTTATACACTATATATGTGAACAAAGTGACCCAAGGACAGGGCAAACAAAGTGACCCAAGGACAGGGCAAACAAAGTGACCCAAGGACAGGGCAAACAAAGTGACCCAAGGACAGGGCAAACAAAGTGGCCCAAGGACAGGGCAAACAAAGTGACCCAAGGACAGGGCAAATGTTGATACCTGGTTCACACAACCAGTAAAATATATATATGCTCTTGGAATTTTAGTTTCTGTAGTGATAACTTTTAAAGATCCCACTTTTAACACAAAAACTTTTAACTTTTGAGAATAAACATTTATATAACGATTGTAGAGGGTCATTGAAGAATTATTGCTTAGAAATTTGACATTAATCCACAATATGATTTAGGAAGAGATTGTGTTTATTGTGTGTGGATTAATATGTATAACATGTAATTACTTTGTGCTCAGAAGAGCTAAAAATAACATATAAATAGAATATTATTTATATTTAAACACAGGTTGATAATTATATGCCTACACATGTTCTTCATAAAGATGAAAAGAGATTTATACCAAAACCCTAAACATTTTCAAAATCAACAATATTTCCATGTATCACAACTATAAACACAAGAGCTGTCGGTAGGACAGCAACGCTCGAATATTCTTAGTGCTTGATAGTAAAAACAAAATGCTTGATACAGTTACCTCCTCCTGTTTACAGGTTGGGGTCATGATGGTG